GGGTAGATTCCTCTCTCGGAACATCTGAACAATAATTATTTTAAAATCAAAATTTAAACGTGTTTTCCAGGTTGTTTTTCTTCCCTTACAATTAGTAAAGTTTAGGCACTTGCAGATAGGGATGTTAACGTTTTCATTTTTTTGAAATTGATCGTTTCGTTATGAAAACGACAACGAAAAATCGAAAATAAAATTACAAAAATTTGTCGTTTAGTTAACGATTGTTAACGACGAACCTTCGTTAACGATCGTTAACGACAACCCTTCATTAAAGATCGTTTACGACGACCCCTCCGTTAACAATCGTTAACGAAGAGAGGAAACCTACCTGAAGGGCATCTGTACTTATCATTGCAGAGTAGTTTGCTGGGTATAGATAGGTAGATAGATAGATAGATTTACTGGGTTTCTTTCACTGGTCAGTTTTCGGCAAGGGCGCGTGCGGCGCGGCCCGCCATAGTGATAGGACAGGTCCTGGGTTCGGCACGCGCGGCTTTTAGGTAGTTTGGGTAGGGCGCGGCCCGCCATGTGACCAGGCGGCAGGCACTGCTGAGTGCAGAGTAACCACATCCACAACCAGTCAGTCAGACTCAGACTCAGTTCAGTAGTCAGTCACCCAGTGTCCAGTAACTCGGTTATTGTTCACGTAGCAGCTTCAATCACAACTATATCTCAGATATTCAATCACATTCAGACAGGGGAAGAAGAACAAGATTAAAAGCGAAGTTTTTTATTATATAAGTCATTTGTTTGCTAAGCTGGTAGATCGAACAAAAGTCATATCTAATAATTAAACAAGCAAATCAACATTATAAGCTGGATGCAGGAATTACAGAAGTAATTAGCCAAATATCACTGAATTTAAATGATGTTAAAATATGTTTAGTATTAGTATTTAGGGATTTTTTTTTATTTTTACTGTTTATATTTTTATCCTTTTCCTCAATAACTGTGAATATTATCTTTTATACATCATTAAAAAATAGGACTTTAATCTGTTTGTTATAGTTCAGACTTTATCTAGTTTGTTATAGTTCAGACTTTATTCAGTTTGTTTAGTTCAGACTTTAATCTGTTTGTTTAGTTCAGACTTTAATCTGTTTGTTTTGTTTTGAATGTTTAGTATTAGTACTTTGTGATTTTTTATATTTGCTGTTTATTTTTGAACCCCATCTTGTAAACCTTTGATATTTCAAACTCAGATTATTTNTAGTCTTTTTGGTGTATTTTTATGGTGAACAAAATAAGTCCAGGTGGGAGAGGGGGGGGCAAAAAAAATTTAAAAAAGGTATTAATATTTTTTCAAAAAAGGGGTTTTTAAGGGGGGGACCAATTTTGCCAAGGGGGGGGACCAAAATTTTTTTTTTGCGCGCTTATGTGCGCAATTTGTGTCCCCCCTAAACAAAAGCCCTCGTACGCCCCTGATCAGGAAAACGAAGCCATAATGTATCGCTACCTTACATAACGTTTCTGTAACGTTCTAGAAACGAAATTTGGTTTGTCGGGTTAGGTCAGTTTTGGACATTTCGCTGATCAAACCTAAAGATTTTTAGGTCGGAAAAACTTTAGGTCGAAAAACGTTAGGTTGGAAACTCAATAAGTTCATTTCCTCTAGGTTCGATGAGCCTGGGTACCAATTTATTTCCTTCTTTTCATTTTCTTCTTTTTTGTCTCANAGGCTTCAGAGGAAAAGGGAGTAGGTGCCCCTTCCCCCCACCCTAACTACGGTTCTGAATATATCATTAGTCCTAAATATTGATAGATACCACCTTTCTTGATTAACACTTTCTGATTTTCTGTCGTCTTTAAAACCGACAAAATAAATATATTCGCGCCAAAAATTTTGAATATTCCAAACTTCTTCCGGCTTTGTTCAACGCGGCATCTTCAGCTTTGTGCGCACTGTGACTGAACTCAACAAAATCAAATTCAAAACCATTTTTCCGGGGGCTGGCTGAAGCATTGTTTAGTGCCGACTTCACTTACCGAATTTGACTTTAACACAAGATTTTCCTAAATTTCATTAACAGAGACAGATATTACTTGTTCGATAATTACTCTATAAAATCTAGTATTGTGGAGTTTTCTTTTTCGGATTTGGTTATAATTGACAGATAATAGAATTAATAACCAGTCTAAAAATGCATATCTAAATCAAAGCAAAGTGGGTATACATGATATAAATTTATAACTACATGATACATGGATGTGACATTTGAAATATTTATAAAATTTAGATCATATATTACTAACTTTCAGGGCGCTACGTGCTTAACTTTTAACTGTCGGGGTCCTTCCTAGTATACAGTTTTGGCCCCCCCCCCCCGGCCCCCTCTACCTCCTATCAATTTTGTGCATGACCACTTTTTTTCAACAATTTTCAATAAAATTTGTATTTATTTAGGGTTTGGTTAGATTAGGACACTTTCTTGGCCGAGCGCTAAGGCTAGAACAGGCAAGGGGGCCGAGCACCGAGGTTAGTGGGCCGGGCGCTGCGGCCACATGGTCNGGGGGGGGGTTTCAAAAATCGTACATTAGGAAATTAACAATTGTTGTTAATCCTTCAGTATTTTCTTATCGATAGAACAAGGACGAACATTTTTGCGGATTTAGAATTTGTTTTCGTGGAATTTAGATTATTACGAAAAATTTAAATTATTTGAAGACAACTTTTTGTAAGTTTTAGTATACATAAACTTTTCCGGTAATATTCCAGGGAACAAGGTTTGGTCCCACGACCCCCCATCCTATTTTGTACATGCATCTATTCAACACATAAATAAATTTGGTCATGCGGCCGCAGAGCCTGGCCCCCTAGCCGCAGCGCTCAGTCCCGTAAATGTGTCTTTAACTTAACCCACCCATAAACTTACACGTTTTTTATTTGAAAATTGTTGAAATGCTATANTTGATTCAAGATGTATTTACATTGTACATGAATGAAAGTAAATTACTGGTCACTTATTGTAGTTGCAAATTACTAACTGTTAGAATAAAAATATTTCTGATTTCAGATTTGATTAACCATGAGTGACGCCGGCAGTGGAAGTGAGGTTGAGGAGTACGAGGTTGAACGTATCCTAGAGGTCAGGCAGAGGAAAGGGAAAACAGAATATCTTATCAAATGGAAAGGTATAATCACACAGCAAGCAAATTAGGGTGCAATTCTTGGATATTTAGGGTTAGGTAAGGCCTCCTAGCCTTTCTGGGCTGAGCGCTGGTGCTAGAACAGACTAGGGGGGGGCGAGCGCTGCGGCTAGGACAGACTTTACCTGTATACT